TACTAAAAATAAGAGCGGTCCAAGGATCGAGCCCTGGGGGACACCAGAGTTAATATATTTATGACCAGAAGATTGACCGTTTAAGACTACATACTGTTTTCTATTATAAAGATAACTTTTAAGCCAACAAAGCAAACTACCTCTAATACCTATGTTTTCTAATTTGTGAAGTAGACCTTCGTGCCACACCTTGTCAAAAGCTTTTGAGACATCTAAAAATACTGTACAAACATCCCCACCATTATCTATACATTTATAAATGCTGTGGATTATTTTTAACAGCTGATTAATGGTAGAATCATTTCTTTTAAATCCAGAGTTTTCTTTGATAAGAATGTTATTTGCCAAAAAGAATTCATAAATACGTTTGTATACTATTTTTTCAAGACATTTAGATATATTTGAAAGAAGTGATATTGGCCGATAATTTTTAACATCATTTTTGCTGTCTTTTTTATGAATAGGACAAACTTGAGCTGTTTTCCACAAAGTGGGAAAAATACCTGACCTGAGAGAAGTATTAAAGATATGTGCCCAAGTATGACATAATGATTGACAGCAATTTTTAAGAATAAAATTTCCTATGCCATCTGGCCCTGTTGCCTTTTTGGTGTTTAGCGACTTAAAAATATTACATACCTCTTCTGGAGTGGTTTGTACGGTACTAATTACAGGTAAGTTATTATTTACATTAGTTTGGGGTAGTACTGGTTTCTCAATGTTATCCGGGATAGTACATTGATCAGAGAAATATGTGTTAAATCGATCTGCCTTATCAGTATCATCGTGTATATAGTGATTGTTTTCCATTAAAGGAGGGATAGTGTGATCGCCATTTTTGCCTAGAAGTGATTTAGTAATTGACCAGAAAAGTTTAGGATTGGTATTTTTGTTAGATAGTTTAGTAATAGTGGATTCTTGCCAGCGTTTAAGTGCTTCGCGTTTTACCCGATTTGCTTCCCTACGTGCTACCTGGAACCTGAATTTATCGAAATCTTTACCTGTTCTTTGAAATAATTTGTAGTATCTATCTCTAGTCCTAAAGGCTCGACGTACTTCGTTTGTTAACCACGGTTTGTCGCGAGGACGAATATTGACTACTTTGTTTATGATAAAAGTTTTACACGTATCTAAGATAAACTTGTTTACATTATCAATGATATCATCTAAAAGATTAAAAACACCAAAGAATATATCAATATGGGCGGTGTTGAATGCATTGTTCAAACCATCGATATCAGCAGTTTTGTAGTCCCATATGGTTCTCTGATATGACTGAGGCTTTGGAACATAATATTTCAGTTTACATGAAATAGAACTATGATCAAGGTTACAGAGTGGTGATTTTATATCAACATTTGCCACAAAGTGGACTTTATCAACAAAAATGAGATCAAGTATATGTGATGAATTCTCGGTAAAATGGGTAGCTTTATTAATTAATTGTGACAAATTATTTTGGATCGCAATATTAAAAAGACGACATCTAAGTTCACTAGTCACGTGCTGGTCATCCTAGGCAGTACATCTATCGTTAAAATCACCAGTGATTATAATATTAAGCGGATTTCGGACTGCATTTTTTGGACAGTGTCTGAAAAGTAAGTTAGGAAGTCATTTTTAGTGCGGGCATCCTGGTTAGGAGGACGATAGATTATACTAAATAAGATATATCCTGTCTGATGAGTTATTTCTAGTACAAGACTTTCAATATTTGGGGATTCTAAGTCTAGCCGACGTTTACATTTAATAGCATTACGGATATATATAGCTACACCTCCACCATGTCTATTTCTGTCGTTTCTGTAAAGTTTAAAGTTTTCTAATTGAAGAATAGAATCTTCAATTTCTGGACATAACCATGTCTCAGATATAGCTATAATGTCATACATAAAGTCATTGCAAAGAACGCTCTCAATTTCATCTAACTTATAATAACGAGTGTTACTTTCATCTGTAGTGGCCAAAATACTTCGTACATTTATGTGAAAGAAAGATAGATAGTTAAGTTTATTTGGACCGGGGTTAGGCTGGACGTCCCCACAAGTGAGGAGAAGAAGGAATAGTAGATAGCATATGCAGAGTAAAACACTAACAGAAGTAGGGTGAGTACAGTTATGTAAAGATTTAAAACGTGGTTTGCGCCGTATGTTTTTACTTACGCTTGTCATAAAAGAGTAAAAGCTCCAAATGCCAATCGTGTACCGGTACTGCTCGAGACAGATCATTATAAAGAGTAGAGGAAAATGGTTAGGACAAAAAGGGAATAGGGGGAACGTTCAAGATCGAATGATAGATAGGAAGATATAGGGAAAAGATAAGGAGGCGTATATGAGGCAAGAAAGTACATAAGAAACATGCTAACCACTAACAATGCCGTTTGAAATACTATTTGGTACTACAGGAAACAGTGGAAAAGGTAGATTTAGATACAGTGATGGGGAATTGTTAAAATCCCAAAAATTCATTACTTTACAATGGACATTTATCTATGAGACTGAAGATAAAGACACATGTATCCATACGACAGCACATGAACAAATAGTGCATAAATATATTTACATGGTTATTAACAATTTCTACTTAGTATATATGTTGCCAAACATATCGTAGTTACATATCGTAGTTACATTATAAGCTATTTACGATACAAATAACAATATATACAAACAAGCATTTTAAGTTACCTTCGAATGTACCTTATCTAAGAAAGAAAAAAAAACATCCTTTACTTATCGTTACTAATTAGTACTTTTGACATTGCAAAACAGACGGTGAGCCTTAACAGTTATCAAAAAGATGTTACCGCGATGGGATTCATATTATCCGACATGATACTGGGTCAGATATTTAGTATACATGCATGATATGAAACAAAATGTAAGGTATCATACGGTACTGTGAATTTATCACTACAAGGTTAAGATAGTAGACACCGTGGTGTAGTGACCATAAAAATGACAATAATATTCAGATACGTATACATAGGACTAGGATTTATCCTATATGACCGATTTAAAATTATGTAAATTACAAAAATAATGAGTCAGCGAAGGAACCCCTTCATACATAATTCAAGATGCGTAATTCTAATTCTTATAATTGCAATTTACCCTGATCCTGAAACAACAAGTATTGATAGCTCATATAACTAATTGAGAGAAAATTTACATGGAACATATGAAACACTGTAGTGTGTCATACGGTACTGATTTTTTTTTTACCATTGCATGATAGTAGACACTGTGGTATAGTGAGAATAAGATGACAATAATATTCAGTGACATAGGACTAAGATTTTTCCTATAGGATCTATTTAAGATTTTTATAAATTACAAAAATAATGAGACAGTGAAGGAATGAGCTCATATTAATAGCTCATATAACTATTTGACGAATAATAACAATGTTTTTCAGTGTACTTGATAGTCCTGTCTTACAGGATTTTTTTCCCAAGGATCGTGTCGGTTACAGTATAAATAATAGATAACGATGATATTTGATATACAATATATAGAAAGTGGAACGCTGACGCTTGGCACTCATCAATAGATTGTAAACTTATGAATAGAAAGATTAAATGTTGAGTGATTCGTAGCTGAAGTACTCATTGTGTAAGTTTGATTACCATTCTTAAAAAAGTATACCATATAGGTTATAAACATGTTGTTGATAGTCTATTGATATTATGAAATACAGTATATTCATTTTATATTTGTTAACCATAATTTCTTTTAAGAAGAATATGATTTAGCGTAACACGGTGCATAGAATGTATACATGTATGTTGTGTTGTAAGATGTATAGATAAGATACATATAACTAACGCTCCGGCTTCAATATCATTCATATAAATACTGATTATAATCATCAAATAATACCACTAAAGAGAATATCGTAAGAATTATACATGTTTGAGATATAAGTAGAGAAGGACGATTTTAAGAAAAACGAACAATAATTACACGGAATTCGCTTGCAGCATTTCAGTTGGATTCGTAAGATAATACAGGAATAATACTCTATGCAAACACATCACATTCACTTGTTTTATGAATATGATGATATTCATATCCAATATTTTCCAAACACAAGTTTCATATTTCATCTCCTTTTGAACATTTGCTATCGCCTAGTTTAAATAAAAACAAACAATTATACGTATACATTGTTTAGTTTCGGTTGTTAGTTTTTTTTCGACAAATTGATTAACATATATTTTAAGCAACAAATTCAGAATTTGACACTAAAAAAATAAACTACCCAATAGGCGTATCCATATGTATTGTTAATGTGGAAGAACCATTGTTCAAGACTATTCCCGTAACTTCATCTTGAAATAATGTTTGAGGAAAATATAGAAAAAAAACGAAAAAGATAAGTGAGAAACCACCAACATCAAATATACTTTTAATCTAATGAATTCATATAAGGGAATGTGTTTCGGCGTCGTGTAGATTAACAGAGTATATGTTAAATGTAATGTACTGTTGAGTTCCAAACGGATGCCATTAGAAGTTTAATTCCATTTCAAAACGAATTATCAATACTCACAAAAAATCGTCGGAAAAATCATCATTCCAAATTATTTTTTTGGTGCTGACAGGGAAAATGTTGCCTATAAGTGCATCTGCATCTCTCGCTGTGCAAACAACACTCAGTGCTGTATAGGTAAATACAGGTCAGAGTTAGGGTCAGAGACCGACACGCTTCCGCGAGCAAGTACATCTGAAGCTAAGTCCGTTATTGGTATACTATGAACGGCGTTTTAGGAGCGTGTTTAATGAAACGGTTTGTGTGCGTTTCCGTTGCGTTTCCGTTCCGTTTGCGTTCCGTTTGCATTGCGTTTGCGTTTAAACGGACAAGAAAAACGGTCCAGGGTCTGTACCATGTGAGTTAACTCAAACTTGTAGCTCTTTAACTAAGGTCCAAAACTTTTGTATATATTTGGTAAATATTATTAGATAAAATAGGAGCATTGATAAATGAATGGTTCTTACCAATGTTCCAGTAATCCATCGAGGAATCGGTTTGTCAAAGTGAATGGGCACGTTCTCCAATTCCTCCGTGTTTGTACGGAACAGGTTGTCGAACCCTTTGTCGTGCACAGGGTTCTTTTCATTTGAGCTTCGTCGCAGACACAAATCTACTTCCGTCCAACAAGTCGCGATGAACATAAGAATACGGAACAGTGATGTAAACATTTTAGTTATAATGTTGGTGTTAACAAGTGAACACATGAAAACCGGTCACATTCTTAAATTTCCTGGACAGATTTGTTGAAAATCGATGACGATATTATCAAATTGACACATCCTTCAGAAGGTTATACCATTTTACAAAGTATCAAATGTAATATTTCCGCAATCGTTTTCCATACAACAGAAGCACTCGATTCTTATAGCATTTCCTTTAACTACAAATGGTTCGTGGTTAACGCATGTACACATTGTAGTTTCCATACACATGGCTACCAAACTACTGATTTTTCATTGTCACATAAGCAAAGCTCGTAGTTCACAAACAGAATCTTCTTAATTTTCTAGTCATAAAATATTTTAGTGTATAAAATAGCGAAATTATCCGTTCAATTGTGAAATGTCCTATGTGATATATGCGGCCGCATTGCACATCAGGACATACCTGTACCAAGACGGCCTCGTTGATTCGCTAGGACAGTAAAAGGAACACGAAATCAACACCGTTCCGCGACATGCTTCTCATGTACTTCATACATCGTGTTTAATAGCGTTAAAACTATGGACCTAGTGAATCGTTACCAAGTACGTAACGTTCTCACACACAGCTGTTAGAAATCTGTCTAAATTAAAATGCTAAAACAATTGTCATTCCCGTGTGAACGTTCCGTAAGTTTTCCGTAGGCCGCGTACTGTCAACTTTATCTGTCCTTTAAATTCTGATACATGGTGCTGACGTTGCTTTCACTTCCCAACCTTTCACAGGAAAAAAAGAAAAGAAAATCTATATTGATATCAGAAGGTGATGTTACGTAATGTTAAAAGCCTCTTTTTAGAATGTTCTCTTCTATCACGCAGGTCTCGCGGCAGTTAACTAAAAACAAGCACTAGTTGTAATGATTGAACTCGATACCTAGTAGATTCACATTGATTTAACATCAACCTGAAAGATTCTACATGAGTTTAAATTTACAGAGGCGATTGGTGCTAGACACTTACATGGTTTAATTACTGATTTAAAAGTCCTTAAGAAGCAGGACGCGCAAGGTTGCCCCCTCTCTAACGGTGTTATTAGGCTAGGCGCTGGTGTGTTTTCGTTTGTCTATTTGTTTTTGTTCTTCCCGAACATAAACATAAAACCCCTTGTGTACAAATTTCCAGAGTCATAGATAATGTTTGCTTATAAATTACACTAATATGTGTATACACATGCATGTCATGGAATGTGTGTGTGTGTGTGTGTGTGTGTTGATATGTACATTATATATTTGTATTAGTATGTGTATGAAAGTACTAGGATGTGTGTGTATGTACATACAGATGTATGTATATACATTCGTGTGCATATGGGTTTATGGTTTTTTCTGTTGCTATTGCGTATATATACTTATAATCTATTTCTTGTACGAAAAAAGTTTTCATACCACAAATGAATATGCTGTTTTCATGCCTTGTACAGACATGTCTACAATATCTTTTAAACTCGGACCTTTCATGAATTCATAAATACGTACGCGTGCAAATTCTCTGACGGCTCCTTCGTGATTGTTATGTTTATGTTCGGGCTAACATCAAGTCTTATCCGATTTACATTCGTGTCCATTAAAGGGACATCACGGTGAAGTAACTATTTTTTTTGTCTTTTTTTCAAATACTACATAAACATATCAAGTGAGACTCCTTATGGAAAATAACGATCGGATTTGGCTGAAATAGATTCATAAAAATGATTAAATCTAAGATAATCATCGGTATTTCTACCTGTCTGACCAACGTTTTGTTCAGGGATTTCCCTCTACTAGCGCATGCGCATTGCACACCATTTCTTTGTAAACAAAATGACTGACCGTGTGAAGTAAGCCAAAGAAAAGTGTTGTACCGTGTCAGCTACGAAGCGAAAAGTTGCCAAATGGTCAAAAGATAGCGCACGGAGTACGTTACGGAATCATTATTACAGGTGGGAGTATTCAAAGGAGAAAACAACTGCCCTAGCAGTTAGTACGGTGCATGTATTCTTCAGGATAGTCAGTTAAGCTGAAATGGAATCGACAGAAATGCTAGCGCTGTTTATGTTATGAATAAATATCTAAAACTATTAACCTCGCTAGTATCTTTGTCTGAGTTTGAACACAGATGAACTTAGTTTAATATGTCGATGGGCATGTATCGGAGAGAGTTTACTTTGTGTTTCTATAATTATACAGTGGTTTATGCGAAAGGAAGCGATAAGTGACTGGTTAGTTTGATTTTGTCATGAGGCCCTCCAAGGGTTAACTGTTGTGATAGCCGTCTCTGTCGGTGCTCGTGATCGGGGTCAAATGAGATACGTGCGCTTTTAGATTTACATAATTTATAATATTACCGGGTTCATTAAAAGTGTATGATTTAATTATATTGCTGAATTAAACGATTTTTTGTTTGTTTTTACATACACGATTTAAATTAGTACTAATATGAATACCCGGCTTCCTCTGGCGCAACGACGTAATATATATAAAAAAAATATCTCGTCGTCAGAAAGCTACATTATGGCAGCTATAGAGTAAAAATGTAAAATGATGGGCCAGGATGAATAACTGAGGAAGGAGAACCTACTTCTAGTAAAAAGGATCGCGTAAATTTTTTTTTTTAAATCGTAATATTTCAACAGTTCATGTTTTCATATGTTGTTGACTCAGAATGTATGATCATGTAACAACCTTTTCTCTATAAAGAATTAATCTTCGACTTCAGATAGAATCGGAATATGTATTGAAAACAGGGGAAGAAACATTTGTTTACGTTGTAAAAATGACGCGTGCTGCCGATAACTACGGCTTCTGTTTCGGACAAAAATGAAATGATTAAAGAAAACTTGGCTCAACATAAAAAGGGTCCATTGACAAGAATGATTTAATCTATGAAAAGTATTGAAAAAATATAATTATCAAGTGGCCCATATCTGACACATATTCTACATATACACGTAGTGGTTTTGCCATACAGTTTAGTGTGTGTGATGGCTAATATGACTCACTAAGAGTTAGCGTATGGAGACGGTGAAAGTGGGAAAGAGAGTATACATATTTGTTTATGCATGGTATAGAAAAAAAAACATTGGCCAAAGATATTGAGTTGTACAATGTAATAAAACAAATCACAAACGTTTCTTTTTTTTTATACGCGTGTAGTTTGTCATTGCATATATGCACTTTATGAAAACATTTGAAAAGGAATATTCGTCTCGTGAATAATCCTTTTTACAGAAAGGTTTGTCCCATGGTTGAAGAAAGGTGTTTAGCCCCGTACAGATGTCACATTCCGGTACTAAATTCAATATATATTTATATATATATACTTTATGTTTATGCCTATTATCATTGTTGACATTTAGTTGTAAATGTATGACGGGAGAAGTCCGTGATAAATTGTAAAAACGTGTGCCCCATCCCTTGTTCAATTTTATTGGCAAGAAATATGTTTAAAGCTAAATAAATTTAAATTCTGAATATTGGCAAGTGTGCAATTAACTTATAATGATGAATAACTACTGTTCAATAAGTTTTAATACGGACTTAGAAATCATATTACTTGGTTTCATAGTGCGGTAAGAAGTTGCAGTTGCCTGACGCCCCTCTCTAGGGGCCCCTTGGGAAACCGTTTCATCTCGCCCAGACCGCTCGTGTTTACTGCTTAGTCAGGTGACGTGACCGGCGCTATTTTTAGCAGGGCTTTCCCGAACAATTCAAGTGGTCAAACTGGACATTTGGAACGGACTATGAATATGGGGATAGAGAGGTAAAATAAGTGGAAGTGCATACAATACATACATTCATTAAAAAAAATATGGCTTTTCGCGTGATGTCCCTTTAATGTCCCTTCACACTTGCATTTATTTTTACACACGATCGCTTTCGTGTTCTTTCATAGTACATGTACATGCACTTGTGGCCATTCGTGTATACAAACGTTTTTACATACATGTTGTCACTCATGTTACATTTTTGTATCTACATTCGTGTCGACTGTCACGTATGATAGTTTGAGTTGATGCTCATTTATGATTTCATTGCTATACATATTTTTGTCATGTTTGTTACAATATATATGCCCATCCGTGTTTATACTCATGTTTAAAGTAACGTCATCTGTCTGACTTAAGACTAGTAATTTTTCCAGCGTCATATTTCTAATGATCACCCGCAAACACATTACTACAATGTCATTATTGTTTTTTCAATGTTGTGTAACTGTGTCAAATGTGTTTATATTGTTCCCTACCTATTGTCTTTCATTCCACACTCTTTGTCCCCCTCGCTCTTACCTTTTAGTTATCCTGGTTATCTGACAGTCGTATATGTAACAATAACAGAACTATCCGTTAGCAGTCTCCATGTCCCTATTTCGTACTTTTTTCTATCCCCCATGACAGGGTGCTCATTATCCACACGAAGATGTGCTATCGGACTATATTACTCTAAACAAACCCATTTAAACAATACGTACAGATTCAACAACAACACCTATTACGATATATTTAAGCTACATTTTATATATTTGCCTATAGCAGTTATTTTTCTTGTTTTTCTACAGACATATAGCAACCCAAACAACATCGCCCTTGTCTTAATCTTGATCTTACTTTTGTCAGGGGACATACACCCAAATCCAGGACCAGCAGACAGTTTTTCTTCATCTAACGACTCCGACAATATATCCTTTTCTGTTCTTGACGATAACTCATTAAAAATCATGCACTTGAATATTCGTAGCGTTAGAAATAAAATTGTTTTTTCTTGAGAGTTTTACCGATGACGTAGACATATTGTGCCTAACAGAAACACATCTCGATCCTTCTATCCCTGATTCTGACCATCTTCTTACTAACTTCTAAACAATACTTAGAAAAGACAGGAACGCTTTTGGTGGCGGTGTTAAGATTTTTGCAACTTAAGACATACTGCCTAAACGCAGACTTGATATTGAATCACCAAATGACGAAATAATTTGGATTGAATTTTGTACTGATATTAAGAAATATCTTCTATGGTACTATTCCGTCTTTGCGTATTGCAGAGTTATCTTCTCTTTTGAGCAGGGATTGATTGTTACGTCATTGGTTTGTGTGAGAAAATTACGTCGTTTCCTCAAAAATTGATGTCGTTACTCTCACAAACCAATGACGTAACAATCAATATCTGCTCACAAGAGAAGATAACTCTGCAATACGCAAAGACGGAATACGAACCTCCATGGCAAAATACTAACTCTGGAATTTGGACTCGACTGAAACATCTTTTGACATAGCTTTTGACTACACTTCTCATGATATATTAACAGGGGATACTAACATTGACTTATTAACAGGAAATAACAATGATCTTAGCATTCTAACACAGCAATATAATCTAACTAACCTGATTACCAGTTCAACTAGAGTAGCAAATACTACACAATCCCTTATAGACCCATTTTACATCAGTGATACTATATCCTCCGAATCATTCATTGTTGTACCAGTTTTAGAAGCTATAAGTGACCACAGAGCTATAATTGTGTCATTGTCATCCTGTCTACCAACACCAAAGTATTTTAAGAGGAAAATATGGTTATACAACAGAGCAAATATTTTAAATCTTAAAACAGAGGTAGGACAGGTAAATTGGATAGATTTGTTTTCTTATGCAGATAATGTAAGCGAAAAATGTAAACTGTTCACTGACAAAATTATTT